GATGTTATTAGGTCTAAGATTAAACTTTATCATCATTTCAGTATTTCTTTTCGTGGGACATAAAATTGTCTTAAAAATAATGTGATTTAAAAAACTATAATCGAAATGTCAAAATAATTATTAATAATTCAAAGAAACCCTGGAACTCGAAATAAAATGAAAGGTATGGTCAAAACAAACCTGCATGAGAGCATTTACTGTTGTCATTTGAAAATAGATAATAGATTTATCTAATTTAACGACCAAATTGGGTTTGCATTTATAAAACGGAAACAGAACCAGATTTTGAAAATAAAAGTGAATAAAAAAAAACACCCCAGAGGTGAAATCATATGTTCTGAAAGCGATTTCTGCAACATTTATATATGTCATCCGTCATGAAATCTCCTGTTAAATTGACAAACGTATACAACTTACAACAAATCAAAATTGGATGTTCAAAGTAGATCAAATGACTTGCAACACATTCATATACTTCAAAATTAAAGTAAGATAATCAGGTATCATGAAAATGTATTTAATCTGGACATCCACTGATAGTTTTATAAAAGTAAACCCTTATTCGATTTTTTAAAGAGCTTATCCTTAACCACAAGTGTTAACGTTTAAATATTGTCATAGTGACATATATTACACATAGACTGCGTAAATAACAATTAAAATTGTTGAACTATTTAGTTTGGATCCCGTTATTATTTTGAATCACCAATACCTCCTCCTCCTCTTACTGGAGTGTCATCGCCGTATGTTGATAATCCCTAACTATTATTGTTGCTTACTAGAAAAAGAAAGATGTACATTTTATTCCATGATACTCCGTTACACATACCATTGATTATTTTTCTTCTTCACATTTTCATAACTCTATCTGACTCGCTTTAATGCATTCAACAGTACCTACAAACTCTCACTAATGTTCTAAACAAGTCTTTTCGCCTCTCCAGATATATGAAAATGTCATATGCAGTTAGACATTACTTTGCAGAGCAACCAACTGTGATGAAAAGTCACATAAGCATATAATCAGACGTTGTTTACAGTACTGCAACTCACTTATTGGAAATTATAAATTACAACAAGACAACAAACAAAATATATATGTAGGGAGTGTAGCGACGGTCCGAGTTTTGTATAATGCATCAAATAACAGACTTAACTCGAGCAACACCTCTAGCATGGGATAAAGTTAACGAGAAAAGCATTATCATATGCTAGCTAACACAATATTAATAGATGTCAACCCGAGTCAGGGATGACAACAAAGAGGTAGCCAGACCAGTGCACCTCAATACAGCAACAACCAACAATGTCTTTAAATATATTCTTTTTTTGCAAGACAATCACACATTGGAACATAATCCCAAACAGCAAAACCAGCTTACACTATCTGTATGTATGACACAGATAGTTAATTCCAAATATTTAAGGTTGTAGCTCATACATAGTTTTATTCCTTTACTTAATTTCTTCACATATCCGACATAAGCAAACAAAATCGAGCACCATAACATATAATAAACCTATTGTTGATTACCTTGTATATGCTGATGTAGAATATCTTTCAAAGTTAAACAAATCCGTTTGTTTTTAATTGTATAATTGTTCTTTGATGTATGTGAAAATGACATATGTAATTAATTTTGTAAACCATTTTAAATGGGCCGGTGTCTCAGATCCATTACTTATTAATGGTGAAGTACTGATAATACCATTGAAGTTTTGCAGTTCATTTTGCCTAGCCATGTAATATTTATCAAAGCTTCTGAAGTATTCTGACGACATGTTCAGGATAATTGCTTGAAAAATAGAATAAGATGAATATTTGCAGAGCTGAAAGCAGCGACGTCATCATCAGTAAAATATTTGTTATTTAGTTTTTGTAATTAAAAACACAATAGCCATATATCATAATTTACTTTATATATATAATGTGTAAGAGCTGAGTTTTTTCTCTACCTTTTCTAACAAAATTATATTATTTTTCCATATCTGAAATTATGACCATGACCAAACTTGCTCGACCAATCTATTTACAATTCTCGTTGCCGATCAAGCATTAGAATTTCAAATCTATGATATGAATATAGTACTTAAACAATACACCAACAGCATGTCCTTATTTGAAAGTAAATACCTATATCTGCTTATGAAGATACATATCATATGTAGTATATGTAGGTAAAAGTACACACAGATGTTAAGATGCTTTGTCCATAATATCTTCAGGGATAACATTACTGCAACACCAATAGATGCTATCACACAACGCCTGTTCATAAAACCCAGTATGATCTAGATATAGTCCTTTCCTGAGACTGTTGGTGTGTTAAATCATAATGCGATTGGTACTTAAGGTATTGAAAGAATGTCATATTTTGCATCTATACACATTGTTAGTCCTATTATTTAGTTAGTTTGAGTTATTGAGCGTTTGTTTATTGAAATACAATCGTAATTGGGAAATGAAAAATGACATAAAACATTCTTTATTGTTACTTTACGACAAACGTATAGGATCTGAATTATCATATTAATAATCAATGATATGCATTCTTTATTTGCTTTTGATGGTTGATACGGAAATGTTTGGTATGCCTTTAGATTGATAAGTTCTTTTACCCTGTGTTCTGTAGGTTTGTGTTCAGTAAACATGCACTCATAGACACCCCAAGATCCAACAAAGTTGTGTCGCAATGAGGTCAGTTGTTACTACTAACTTGAAAAAACCAGGATTCCTATTTTTTCGAACATACCTAAATATACATGCCGATTTTAAAAATGTAAATGTGCAGGTATTAGCGTGCAATATTTACATTTCTACTGAATTTGAACTCAATATACCTACTAAACATTTTAAAGTGGGTTTTTTTCAATTAACTTTCCAGTTGACTTATGAATACACTCAGCATATTATCAACCTGGTTATTCTGTTATTCTGCTGAGCGCAATAAGTAGTTCTATTAATAAATTGTTTTCAATTTGTTGGGATTTGTCAGAGGTTTTTAATTGAGTTAAACAGAAACAAATAATTTACATCTTAACTAGTTTCTATTGTAATGCAAGTTATTCATCTTATCAGGATGACGTCTCACAGTGAGTGATGACGCCATAAGCTTCGGTACCTTCCATGATGTAAGACTTGCACAAGACCGATATTTTAGAAATTATCAAAAACAAAATCACTATTGCATTGAATGTAAATATAAGAATGTAATCCTTCAATATAATGATATAGTATCTATTGAACACGATGATCTTCATATTACAAAAAACTGAACTCTACTTATTCCACGTCAGTTTCTACAGAAGTTCCATCAACTTTTATTAATCGTTGGCGCAGAAATGAACGCGAAAGGGCTCTTATGTGGAAGGAAACACAGAATTAGTGTGTGTCTTATATTAAGAAAACATACAAAATAAATATTAAAGGATGCATGTTATTAGGTTTTAGCTTTAAAACGTATTTAGACGTTTCCCCTATTTCTCGCCTCCTTATCGAGCCAATTAGCCATCTTATTATGTAGTATATCTATATAACTAGATTGGTTAACTGCAGATTACAGATAACGTAATACTACGTATTTTGTTATTTATATTTGAAAACATCTGTTAAAATAAGCAAAAGCTTACCTGTTTCATGTCACAACAGGCGTGTCTATGTGAATTTCAATAAATGATTGTCCTGTTGTTTTTTAAATTGTTGTACTTAAGTGATCTTTGGTATTCGTTTCCTCTTCGATCATCGTCAGATATATATTTAGCTATTGACAATTTGCTTGACAATCTTTAGCACATTGATCAATTAGTTCGAATTTATATACATGTAGAATCCCTCAAAGAGGACATGAATAAAAAAATTATTTCAGTAATCCTATTAGAAACAACCATTCAGGTTGACAATAGCCGCACTAGTTTTGTCATCACTATTTAATCGTGTATGTCAGACATTTTCGAAACAGACGCGTGTGCAGTTGTAAACATGTGAGTAGTTGCCTTATCAAATGATAATTATTCTTTGCTAAAATTGAAAAAGATAGCATCTTTGTTACGTTTCATCTTGGAAACACCAGCGAATGGTTTACCATTTTATACATATTATGTTATATTTCGTATTTCACGTTGTGTATTAAAAAAAATATGATCAAATAATAGAAATTCAGTTCAAACGCGTCGACAAAATAAATTGATATGAGGATGCAGCTTTGCTTGTCCACAAGACGCTAGGTACATACAGGTATCGGTCGATTGGCTGTGTGGGAGTAAGGTAACGATATATAGGTGCTAAGTGGATAGAGAGATATGAACGATGTGATTTAACACATTATTTTAATGCTAAACGTGATAAAGTATAATGTTGGTAGGGAAGTTATAGAACAAAAAACATAGACAAAGTTGAGTAGTCAGTAAAACACTCAGCGTAAATAATTGATAAAACCAAAATGTATACAAAACCAACGCTCTTCACTTACTTTCCTTACCGATTTCTCCCTTTCATACACCATAAGCATTCACTCAAAATAAAAGAATACATAGTGGAAACTGAGGTTAACCTTCCTAAAACTGTCCATTGCTTAAACAGTTTTCATAATACTGCATTACCATATCGCACATCACGATTGAAAAATGCATTATAATCCTGTTAATTAATAGTAAGCAATGTTTGAGATTTGCCCTATTTCACATAAAAAGTCATATTAAAATGAGGATAATTATCAAAGAAAGTTTCTATTTTGTATGTTCTCAGCCCAACTTTCCACGAATTCTATACTGGTCTTAAATACATATTTAAGAAAATTTTGACATATTTTCTTGATTTAAATAAACTCAAAAATATCATTACGCTCAAAATACAGAACACGAACCGGAACATGAAAAGAAACCTTCGTATAATTATTTTTGAAACATTGGGTATGGTAGTGGAAAATCTGAAATGGTTCTTCGTTATATGCTGGTTATATACGATAGCGTTTAAAATACTAAGAATAATTTAGAGCACTTACCTTTCTATATCTAACAGCTTGAAGTGGATCTGGTACAACCTTTCAGAAGAAACAGCTTTGTTAAATCCTTTCGAACACACATTCTTTGGTAAAATCCTAGTTTTATCAACTCTTATACATTAAACAGCTACCATAAGTGTTTAAGCTAAATTCAAAAAGATGAAAAGTAATTTTGAGAAACTGGATAAACATTATGGGAACACAGATATGTTACAAAGTATCTTAATCCAACACTTACAGTGTAGAATATGTTCTCAACGAGACTACCTGTACTTAGAACAACGTTACAGCAGATTTAGCAGAAATGTGAAATTGAGAAATGGCAAAATCTTAACCCCTAGAACCTCAAACACAAATATATGTTTATATAATATTTATGTTCTAACACATTTTTTAAGTTTAGAAAAAAATTGCTGTGTTTGGTTGAACTGATGTGTTATGTAATTTTCTAAGTCAATTGTGATGCATGATAATGAAGAATATACCATGTTTCGCAATACTTCGCTATAGGTTATCCATTTGAGGAACAGAAAGGGAACATAACATACAACACAACCCATATAAATAGTAGTGTAGAAAGTGTTACAACAGTCCTGATTGAAATATCCATCTTTACATTACAAAAGGTAATTTGAGCAACCAAAAAGTCTTCTCATAGGCCCCTAACATTAATTATATATATAAGTAGGAACACACTTCAGGTTGAAATAAACGCGGTACTGCAACAAACACAGGAAGAAAAGGCCCACCACAAGTCCAAGGCTAACTCCAATCGTATCACAAAATGCAGACCTCCATTCAGTACAACAAAGTCTAGCATCTCACTGAATATGCGACAATAAGAGCATGTCATCACCATAGACGAATGCAATGTTGAGATCTAAGGTACATGTACATATTGTGTCCTTCAGATGTAATGACATTATTTGGAACTAAAACACAATTTTCCTGAATTTACCGCGCGGCGTAAAAAGTTAAGGTATGATAACCTACCTGCCACGAAAATTATAAACATTAAAGTTTCTTATATATTTGTCCGATAATAAACATCGAGGCAGCAAACGAACGCAAGGTCGAGTAGTGGCACGCATTTAAACATAAAGTGGATTCCATTGCCATGATTATTAAGTACTTGCTTAGGCCACGCCTTCATTTCTTATATATATTTGTGGATGTGTGTGTGTAAGTGTATGCGTACCAGTGTTTCGGTAAAGATGATATGAGAAGAAATTGATATAAGGTTTTAGGGTCATTTAACGTGAAGTTTATACGGTGGCCGACGGCGATGCTATCTGCTGGGCCTTCGGTTTATATAATTTCAATCATTTTCTCACTCCACGCCTTCTGCTCAATCCCCCAATTCATTCTCCCTCCTTGTCTGGCCTTGCTTGACCCAAACAATAGTCTCAAAAGTCACATCTAAACAACGACCGCATAACTCTTCGCCATCAGCGTTGCCGTGCTTTTAATAGGTGGTAAAGCAATCATGCGTTAGGTGAAATATAGCAAATGTACAAACCAGTGATGCGATGAGAAGATGAAAAGAACGACGACGAAAGCGATGGCACAGGTGTACGGGTAAACCGTCTACACACTTTATACAGAGTTAGCGTTGACAGGTAAATGAGACAAGGTGACGACGAAACCTCCTGTGTTATATTATCGTCGCTCTCGAGATAGACATACGAGATTCACATGGGAGGTCTCACTGCCAAAACCCCGTGCACATTCTTTTATATAAAATAGCTAGGATGTACATTTTATATTTCCGGTACCTCTGGTATAAATAGCAATCATTATTTTATGAGATGCACCAGTCATACATATTATACTTTATATGTTCCATTTAATGTTTATAAATGTAGTAAATATGTATTTCCTGTATATCTGGCATAAACAGCAATCCTCATACATACATATTAAACTTAAGATATTAATTTAAATATGTTGGACATATATATCAACCCTAACGATACTTAGATTTCATTTATATTTCCTGTATATGTGACAAAACTATTGATCATGATACATACATATTAAACTTTATAAATTGTATTAAATATGTTGGACATATGTTAAACCTACCGTTATCTAGATGTACACTTTATATTTCCTGTTTATCTGACATAAATATATGTACTCCATTTATTCTATTTAATATGGTGGTACATTGAAACCTACCAATACCCTAATGTACGTTTTATATTTCATGTATATCTGGCATAAATATCAATCATTATACACACATTTTATACTATATATGTTTTATTGAATGGGTTGACGTACATATTAAACCTTTTGTTATCTAGATATATTGTTTTTAATTTCCCGTGCATCTGGAATATACAGTATATAAATTAATACATGTCATACGTTGTATATTGAATTTATATTTTGGACATAATAATTATAAAGTACACCTACCGATTTTTCATTTTGACATATATATATTGTATATTCGCTGGCAATAGGTTACGTTGGTGCAAGTAGGCTATTTATCAAGTAAAAATGTTTTCATTTTGCTTCATTTGTTAATCTATGCACATGTGCTATAATCTTAACATACCATTCCGTATATGATGAAATTAACAAGTTTTGACCTTGATAGCTAAAATGATAAATTCATTTCGAAACTCAAGAACAACTTTCTTTCTTAAAAATGGCATATAAAAACGTTAGAATGTAACTTTATAGGGATCCAGGACCTATGAGGGTATGGGAGACAGAAGTATGGAACAGGATGATTGTTTGTAGGGAAAAGAGATAAAAAGTTAATTCTATATATAAAATGTATCTTCTTATACTACGAAATGAAATGAAATTTCTAAAAGAAATAACATATACCTGAGAATATTGTATCAGCTTAGCTTGCGACCTTTTGCTAACCGTTATAAGGGGGAATTAATCATGTCAACAAACATAAATATACAATCGTGCAGTAAATAGTATTTCTAATATGACGGTCGAAATACAAATAGGTGTTTTACTGTGCATGGCGAATAATATACAGAGTACATGTATTTCTACATGATTGAATCAAAATAGGTAAGATCCCTGATATCCAACACCTTTGTACAAATATCTGCATTCTTAACTACAAATAAGACGGAGAGAAAATGTATCAATGACTTCCTTAATTGCCATTATTTTATCTATGAATGCATATTTCACAGTTACTTAGCAAATGAGCTTCAACTTTCATTTGCGATGGAGCATATGTATTATGATATTATGAAATGTTATTCATATAAATATCAATACCTGAATTAACATAATTCATGACAAGTGTAACAATGAAAATAAAGTTTAAACATCAGTAAGATAATATGATACCTTGATCTTGTATCCTTGATCTTGCCACACGTTGTGTGTTCACAGTCATTTTTAAAACAACCTTAATCGTAAAATCTGGTATTTGACATTCCCCCTCACATTTTATTTATTTTTGTTCCTGATAGAATTTGAGTCTGATATTATATGTTTTTATATCGACGCTATAGCATATTTTACAAAATACGAAACATTATCAACAGAATGTGTCACAATATCCACACATTATATAACATTATCAACACATTATATAACATTATCAACACATTACATAACATTATCAACACATTATATAACATTATCAACACATTATATAACATTATCAACAGGAGATTAATGTCGGAATGGGGTCTCATATTATTTGAGAGAGAATGATATTAGAATAGAGGAAGATGAGGCTGAGACTGAATAGGAGAAACATGTCAGTACAGAGAAAGTGAAAGAGTCGTAAAATTGGCGGAGGGCAAGATGAACATAGGTTCTGGGGCTTCAAAGAGAGGGAATGACAAACCAATATACAATAATGGCGTCAAAGACAGATGTATATATATAAAAGCCGTTGCAGTAAACGAATAGACGTAGGAAAAGGATCAGGTGTATGTAGAAGAAGCGGAAGCACTTAATGAGTTGGGGTCGGTGAAAGAAAAACTTAAAAGGCACCCTTAATGGGAGGATATGATGAATTGTGAAGCAAGAGAGACGCAGACTAAGAAAGGATTAGATGAATGTACAACAAGAGGAGATACCGCTTGAGACAGGGTAAGATACATGTAGCAGTTCAGTTGCAGCCTTAGAGGGAGGGTCAAATGGATAACAAAAATAAGTAGGGAAGACACTGATTAAGAAAAAGACGTCAGATGAACTATGAAGCAAGGCGAGAGACAGAATATTTTTTTTATGCAAAAAAGGGGAAACAGACTGAGAGGTGACGCATGTATGTAGCAGTTAACTGATAGTCTAAGAGGAAGAATTTGGAAGCAAGAGAACTGCAGTGTTAAAGGGGCTTTGAGAGATTAATATCCAAAGTAGGGGAGTCGAAAGGTCATAATAATAGTCAAGTAAAGGTGTAAACAAAGGCGCAGTGGTCAGATGAATATAGAAGCAAGTAAGTCACAGAGTAAGAAGGGAAGTCAAATGAAAATAGAACCCAGGGGAATCGCATGCTCAGATGGCAGGTCGCATATAGTAGTAGGAAGAATAACATTCATAAGATTTTAGATAATTAAAGAGGTTTTAAAGTCCCCGCCTGAGACGGATTATCACATTAATACATGTAATTAACTTGCGGGTTAATCCCCAGAACATGTCAGTGGTTTTTAGATTTTGCGCAATTAATAGTCATTAATAGTAAAAAATCATCACTACCTCTCTACCATGATTGGGCAATTGTTTTATTTTTGGATCTTATATTGTACGTATTATTATTATGTCGCTTATGTATCAAAATATAACCTGTTAGAATGTTAAGCGCTCTACATCACATACTCAACTTAACGCATATAAAACCAAGACAGCCACATCCTAGTATAGAAAACCAAGGTTACATATAACACGTTAAGCAAAATACTCAAAGGTATGGCAAAATGTTTAAATACACAAAAACAAGATTTACACTTCCGTGATGAAGTATATTCAGGACAACAAAAATGTATTATAGAATGTATAGTTACACGTTAGTCGGTATTTAATCAATGGTAGACATCAGCTTACACGTAGAGAGCAATAAATCAAGGTTATACCGCATCATATTATCCTTTTTTGAATTTTGACAAATACAATTTTTCCTGATTATCTGTTGTTAGCATAAGTAAAGTTCAACCAAGCAGTTCGCTGAATATTTGTGTACCACGTTTCATCACAATTTAATTATCTTCTATATTTACGTTGTTTAAAACTTGAAGCTTCGTGAGTTTAATTCTAATTATGACATGTTTATATCTCCTTCAAAGTGACAGTGGTAGACTGCTATCGTGATGTTTTGTTTAAAAAATATATAAACGATACATACATATATATATATATAAACTGTTTTTAATGCAGTGTACAATCACATAAGCCAGAATATAAGGGAATATATCTGTCTGACATTTTGAGCAGTGTTTTGTCAACATTAATCATTTCTGCATACGATGTCTAACAACTAACAATTAGTAACATGAACCTTTTTTATTTCAATAATTATATACAGGAGGCGTAACAGCCTATCATTTAACAAATGCACTCAAATAAAACAGAGCAGTATGTGATACAAAGATTCTCCATTATGTATCGTATCGAAATCTCAAAGCGCACTTCCTTTTTAAATGTCTTTCTATGTACAGCCTATTTTTAACACCGAAATTTCACAAATATGCTAGTTAAAAGATAGTGTCAAACTTTCGTTTATTATTTTACATAAAAGTGTAAAAAAAAAAATGTCATATTATACATAATACTAAGAACTGATTAACATCTGCAATTCACTGCACGAAACTGATAGTAGTATTTCTAGAGGTAAGCCAACCACGAGATTCGATAATTATCTAAGGGTCTCTCTACTTGTCAAATCATAAACATAAATTGATGCTAAATTCATTCACATCAAGGTATGAACAGGGTTTGTTTACACCCATCCTAAACATGCTCAACGCTACATACATGCACGTGCTTCATATTACAAGTATTTGAATAATCCAAATCTGCCTTTATATAGACCAAGATCAAAACCGTAGTGATCAAATAACACACATATATAGTATCAATTTAACACTGTTCGCCTTTCAATGTTATTTCACCATTAATCAGTTTTATTTGACATACAATTCCTACAAGCTTAGTCCGTGTTTCTTGAGCACTACATCAAAGGGACATAGTCAGTATTTGTTTGCTTCCCATTGTGTTGTCATATGCGTATCATATAAACCTGTTTAATGAACGCGTATCTTATTAATAACGGGCAAAACGATACAATGAGTGTGCCAATTAACTGCATAACTGTTTTCAATGAATATATGTTTTTTATAAGAAAAAACTTTTCTCAGTAGATCAATTTGAAATTATATAGATGCATATTTATACATGTCTTTAATTTAAAAATTCCTGACAAATTTGAAGTAAATGGTGGCGAACATGCCTACATTGTATATCTATTTCTTGAAAATAAAAGTGAAAAGCAATGAATCGACCAACATCTTTATGATCTCATCAGAAATACATTTCTGACAAATGACTGTTTGCTAGTTAGGAATCATATTGCAAAATAGATATTTTGATTACATCGCATTCTTAAGATCTTTGAATATTCTCAAGTTTACTAGGCATATTTTCTGAAAGTACACCTGCACACACATGTATTATTAGATAGTAAGTCTCCGTACCCGTTGTTAGCTGCACGGTAACGTTGAGGTACACGTAGTTGCTGAAACCTTAACTGGTACTTATGAAACAGTCATAGAATTTGAACATGAAAAATGCAATCTTCTATACTTTGAAACTTCATACTTTACCTTTCTGGGGTTTCCAACCTGCTCTCCGTGAGAAACATTCTACTCATTTTAAGAGCAGTCGTTTCTGCTCGAGTAGGCGCTACGGCTATGCTGTAACGTATGCCGAAATACAGAACGGGGAGACCGGTCCAGGTACATATACATGTATCTATGTTTGTGTGTATGTGTGCGCAAGTGTGTCTTCACATTGTAGAGAGTACATGTCAGATAAAAATCTAACAGACACTTCCCTTCGAAAATGAATGTCAATGGGCATGTCTGCTTTTCTTCAGGCATTGTATGCATTATCATGGAGGTGATTTGAATGTGTCAATTTTGTAGTGAAAGATATGAAAAGAATATAAAATTCCAGTTAAGAGAATTCACAAATAATGTAAAATGTTTTTTTTTCTAGATGTATATATATTTATGTCATAATATAGTTTAACCAACGGAGCGCGAAAGTAAATGCTGGGAAACCTAATTATAATATAAAACACATTTAGAAACATTTGCAGTGCTGCGTAACACTTAAAGAAACATGTTCTTCAAACAGCCTAACAAGACAGGAACGTGATGACATAATTTCAAAAAAGGGGCAAGAGGTAGAAACAATGCTTAGTAACTCATATTCTAAAAAAATGACATATTCAACCAATTCCCTTTATTTACATGTAAAAAAAAAAAAATCTTGATTAAAATTGTTACCTTTCAAGTGCTCAGTAGTACATATTCCGTCTTTGCGTATTGCAGAGTTATCTTCTCTTGATAGCAGGTGTTGATTGCTACGTCATTTGTTTGTGAGAGTAACGTCATCAATGTTTGAGAAAACGACGTAATTTTCTCACACAAACCAATGACGTAGCAATCAATACCTGCTCTCAAGAGAAGATAATTTTGCAATACGCAGACGGAATAGGCCGATACGCATGACTGACAGATATGTCACCATTTGGTCTCAAAGTATATGCCTGTATATTAAAGTAATAAAAAATATACAGTATAAAATTCTATGGAAAATGTGTCATTGCCTAAATGGGGTATTAAATGTTGTCATTTTTTATATGGAAAACACCTGTGTAACAATAACATTAGAGTTGACTAGTTATAGGCTTGTCGAGTGCTAGTGTTCTCAAACCATGTTGAGTTATCGATTACGTTTCAAACGTTCCTTATATATGATTGGCAATATGGGTAATTAATTTCCTTTTGTGAAATTATTACCCTTGTGTTTCTCCTCTGTTATGGTAATTGGTATACCCATATACTAAATATGTGTGTTTTTGCTTAACAATTGGTATTTTGCTTACAATACCATTATTACTAACTAACTTTATACCCCCGCTCTGATTTCTTTAGGTATTTAATATAGTTAATATGTATTTTTTAGTCTTGCGGTTGTATCTGTTTTATTTGCATACGAAGTGATGGGTAATACAAAAGCATTCTGGAACCTTTCTTTTCGACTCCATTAATTTGGTTAAGATTGATAACGTACATTGTATATATGTGGGTGTGTATCCTCGATTCCCGTTGCTGTCTTCTCTTTGTTTTGATATCTTCGATTCTTGTTCCCGTCCGTTGTTGTCTCTCACTTATTTGGATGTATGATTGTCTGCGGTTCCTATTGCTATTTATCGGTTTGTTTTGATGTCTCCTCAGTTCTGTTGTATTATTTGTCCTTTGTCAATTCGGTTGCTGTTGTTGTATTTCCATTCGTTCTGATAATTCCTCGGTTCCTGTTGTTGTTAAATTTCCTTTGGTTTTTGATGTCCTCTCGGGTTCTGTTGATTCTGTTCCTTCTTTTAGCTACCTTCTCGGTCCCTGTTGTTGATTCTGTCTCTTTTTCACTACCTCCTCGGTCCCTGTTGTTGATTCTGCCTCTTTTTCGCTACCTCCTCGCTCCCTGTTGTTGATTCTGTCCCTTTCGCGCTACCTCCTCGCTCCCTGTTGTTGATTCTGTCCCTTGTTTCGCTACCTCATCAGTCCCTGTTGTTGATTCTGTCCCTTTTTTGCTACCTCCTCGGTCCCTGTTGTTGATTCTGTCCCTTGTTTTGCTACCTCCTCGGTCCCTGTTATTGATTCTGTCTCTTTTTCGCTACCTCCTCGCTCCCTGTTGTTGATTATGTCCCTTTCGCGCTACCTCCTCGCTCCCTGTTGTTGATTTTGTCCCTTGTTTCACTACCTCCTCGCTCCCTGTTGTTGATTTTGTACCTTGTTTCGCTACCTCCTCGCTCCCTGTTGTTGATTTTGTCCCTTGTTTCACTACCTCCTCGCTCCCTGTTGTTGATTTTGTACCTTGTTTCGCTACCTCCTCGCTCCCTGGGGTTTTTTTTTTTTTTTTTATGTCTTCTTGACCTCCACCCTTTTTCTGGCCAATTTATTTGATGTCTCATCAGTTCCTGTTGTTTTCTTTCATTTTGGTTCGGTATCTCCTTGGTCCCTGGTGGTGATTTTCCTTTTGTTGTGATGTTTCCTCAGTTCCTGTTATTTTCTTTCCTTTTGTTTTAATATCTCCTGGGTCCCTGGTGTTGATTATTTTTTTGGCGCTTCCTTGGCTTCTGCTCTGTTTTCTTTCACTTTGTTTTGATGTCTCCTCGGGTCCTGATGTTTAATGTTTCACCTATTTTATTTCTCTTCTGTTGCTGTTGTTGACTTTCTTTATGTGTTTTAATTTTTTCGGTTCCCGTTGTTGTAATGTTTCCTTATTACCGCTGTTTTGATGTATCCTCGCTGTGTCTTGATGTGTTCCTGTTGTTTTAAATTTTACTCGTTCCCGTTGTGTTAATGCATCCTCGTTCCCGTTGTTTTGATGTATCTCCGTTCCTGTTGTTGTGATGTATCCTCGACCCGTTGTTTTTGAGGTATCTTCGTTCCTGATGTTTTGATGTATCCTCGTTCCTTTTGTTTTGATGTATCTTCGTTCCCGTTGTTTTGATGTATCCCTGTTTCTGTTGTTTTGATGTACATTGTATCCTGGTTTTCGTTGTTGTGAAGTATCCTCGTTCCCATTTTTATGCTATAACCTCGTTCCTGTTGTTTTGATGTATCCTGGTTTTCGTTGTTGTGAAGTATTCTCGTTCCCATTTTTATGCTATACCCTGGTGTCTGTTGATGTGATGTATCTTTGTTCCCGTTATCGTGATATGTCCTCGTTCCTGTTGTTTTGATGTATCCTGGTTTTCGTTGTTGTGAAGTATCCTCGTTCCCATTTTTATGCAATACCCTCGTTTCTGTTGTTTTGATGTATCCTCGTTCCAGGCGTTTTGTTGCTTCCTCGTTTTGATGTATTCTCGCTTGTTTTCTTGTTGCATCGACACTGAGTTCCGATTTTGTCTTTGACTTAACTCGTTTTTCCTATTTATCTATATTTTTGCCAGTTTATTTTTCACCTTATTAATCTTAGCCCTTGTAAACCGTTTAATGCTTGACTTGCTATCGTTTTCAACAGAAATTTACAATTGTTTCATGACAATAATGGATCAATGAAGATACCAATGTGTTCAGAATCTCATATTGATAAAGCAATGAAACTCTACAATTGTTGTTACATATCGCAGTTGATTCGGTATGCAATATATTGCTCCGAATATCCTGACTTCCGGGACATATGTCGACTTTTGGACAAAGTAACAACACAGGGATTCCGAAGATGTCGGTTGGAAAACATGTTATTTATTTGTGTGATTTGATGGTCGATTTACTAAAAGGTTTCATGGTAACATTTGTTATAGTATATCACAATTGTATTTTAATTATTGATATTAACATTGTTTTAAGCATCATTATCGACCGGCCGCTATGATTGGACGACCTGTGTGGTCCCTCGCGTTAGTGAGCTAAGTGTAGAAAAGACCTTTATTAATTGGAATGCCGTATATTTCAAACCAAAACCAGGCACTGAACGCCCTCGGATACATGTAAACGTCAAATAACCTAAGCATTGGCCTGGTAATTGGTCAGTCTGTTCATCACCCTGAAACAAATCAGATCGATAATTGCGTGTCTCCTATTTTGTCATGACACATTGCAGGTGTGGAGAGAACACAAGTAAGTGTAACCCGGGAATTTCGACTATGACTAAGGTATAACTTCTGATACTGTGTTTATAATTAATTTTCTACTGTGTATTGTAAATCACTTTGTTTTATCGTGTTCTTTATTTGAATAAACACAAGTATACGACATTTGATATAGCGCCCTATCAAGCTAGACTTAGTCACTCCAAAGCGCCTAAAGAATATACATATACAATATAAACAGTCAATACGATTGACATATACATAAAATAATATATGAATCAATACTATTTTGAAGAATTTGCAGGAGTTGCCTTATCAGGCCCTAGTTACATGTACTAGCCATAAGCCACCTGACTAATATCTTCATAATGTGTATGTCTATGTGTGTGCTTGGGATGTATTGTGTTCTGTTTAAAGTGTAGTTACCCATCCAACTTAAATACTTGGCACAGATACCGCGACACGCACCCCAGACCATTTTATACTCCACCTGGGTTGTCGGAGTTGTGCGGGCAGGAGTAAAACACTCTTTTTGAATATTCCATGCATACGACGACTTCGGGGAATTTTGCGAAGAATGACTGCAATTGGTTTTAGGTGATAAAATTTTAGCATCGATATACATTTTCTGGAGAAACAATATTCGCGGAAGATTTCAATGCACACGTCAAAAACTTATCTCCCGCAAAATTAAAATGATTTTTTAGGTTAATAAGCTATACATTGTATCTATACAAAAATATTAATGTTAATATTGAATATCAAAGTATAAAACCTCAATTCAAAGTAGTCACTCCTCGCAAATTGAAAATATTTCATATACATCTAAACAAACATGCATGTGTTTTTTCGACAAATATACCTCTTGTGAAATTTTGTATAAATAATCGTCTCTACCACAGAAAAAATACTCAGTATTAAAACTGTAGTGTTTGTTCATACTAAACATTGTTTCTGTGATCAAAATAATAATAGCGTAATAAGCTTCATACATATTCATAATAGGCATTGACCCGCTTCATTGAATATGTGTCTCTAAGCTGGTAATGAACATATCAGGCAAACAGTGATAATTTTCATAACAA